ACATTTTTCTTGTCCCTATCTCTGTTTCTCTTTCTCCCTATCTATCAATCTATCGATTTATCTACATATTTTTCTTCCTCCCCCTTTCTCTTTATTCTATATCTGTATTTTTGTTAAACTACGTACCCCATTTCTCTCTACCTTTCTTACATCTTTCATTCCTCTTATCTCACATCCTGCCCCATCCCCTTCCATTCCCCATCCCTCCTCCTCTACCCCCCCCCCCTCCCGTTCTCCTGCCATCCTCACCTGCGTATAAACCAAAGGAATATTGTTATCATGCCAGCCCATAACGGAGCCGCAGCGACCTCGCACTTTGAGGATCTCGTCAGTGATTGTCTTTTGAGCCGAGTTGCTCCTGATATTCCCCTCGAGACGCGCCCGGTCCACTACTTTACACGCCCACATAATAGGGACGTAGGTGACGTGTGTTCCGCAGTCGTCGTCTAGCCTCTCTATGATCTCCTTCTCGCGTTCTGTCATGTATTCTGGGGAAGGAAACAAAAGCGAGGTAAAGGTGAATGAAAAATAGGATAGTGTTGGGATTCATGGGCGTGAAATTGAAATATTTTAGAAGAATAGATTAAAAAAAGTGTGAGTAGAAATAAGGATCATTTTGGGATTTATAGGAGTGAGATTGTGATATTGTAGGAAAAAAAAATATGAATAGAGATACGGATAACGTTGGGATTTATGTGAATGAGATAGTGATATTTTAGAAAGAAGAAAAAAAAATTGAAGATACGGATAATTCTGCGATTTATGGGAGTGGGGTCGTGGTAGTAAAATATTTAGGTGTGGTTTTTGAAGCTGTCATAAGAAAAGAAAAGAAAAAAAAGTTAAGAGATATAAGGTTAATTTTGGGTTTAATGGGAGTGGGATGTAGTTGTGGTTTCTGAAACTGTTTAGTGAAGGTGATGATAGTGGTAATGGTGTTGGAAAAAGGGAGGTAAGAGACTAAATTATGATTATAACAACTATATCGCAAAAAAAATGGTTATAAGGATGGTAATGATTTAGTGTTAACGCAAGAAAAAAAATTAATGGTAATGGTAATGGAATAAAGATTGTGAAAGATTTGTTAATGATCTAATAAACAGCAACTGGTAAAGTAATACTAACAATGGTAGTGAAATAAGTATAATGAAAAATTTAATCACATTTCTAACAAAAGCATCGTGGAAAATGATAGTGACAATGTTAGTGGAGTAAGGAAGGTGAAAGATTTAATTGCGAATTATAACATCATGAAAAAAACATGGTAGTGAAACAGTTATAGTAAAATACTGAATTCTGATTATAATGAAATGCAGAAAGAATAAAAAGGACGATAACATGATCTAGACAACACTAAATGAAGACTTTTTTTTTATCAAACACTTCACAGTTATAATGAAAGGCTAATAAAAACAATAAAATTTATACAACAAACGGTCTACATTCGCTCGGATAAAATTAATACCAAAACTAAAAAAAATGGGTTCATAAAGTTGCTTTTTATCATAGCCTTTCTCACTACCATTAACTACCATTATCTTTCATATAAAGTTTAAAAGTAAAAAAAAAAAAAAGTATGTTAACGCGCACTGTTTATAAATTATGGAACACGTTTACCATATATTAACATGAAAACTAATATTGCTAATAGGAATTATTATAAGGAATTGCGCTGATAATGATTATGGAATTGAATTAATTTGGGTGTTATTCACAAAAAAAGAACTAAATTGTTGGTTGACACTTGGAAAAAGAGTATGTGTTAATGTTAGTGAAAATATTTAGAATACGGATAATTCTGCTGATAGTGACGAGACAATTTAACGGCGGTAATGATGGTGCTTGTGATGAGAGTAATCATAATCATAATTAAGACAGTACTTGTAATAAAGATAAAATAATATTGGTGATAATAACAGTGGGAATTATAGTAATAGTGATTAATAATGGCGAGGATGATTACTGATGAAGGTGCTGGTGATAATAACAACAGTTATGAGGAAGATAATGGCAATAACAACAACAGTATATCCATATGTGCATATACATGTGTATATATACATATCAATCTATCTATCTATCTATCTATATCTATCTATATATATATATTTATTTATTTCATTGGGGGATGGTCAATTTGGCCACAAAATGGGTTCAGTAGGTCCGTGCATATGATGTTAACATACATTCTTATACTTAGTGCAAATATTAAGAAGGAACCAACTAGAGTCAATTCTTTGAAGTTTGTGGGACAATATCTTGTAAGTATGGCAGCAAATCATACATTTTTTGAAAGCACAGATCGGTGATATAATATGCATATTATTTCTTTGGCCAGATATATATCACAAATAATCAAATCACTACCATTATGAAAAAAAGAAGAAACACAAAAAAGGATCTGGCACTTCCATACTCATCAACACCAATTCCTTTCTTTAAAATACAAAAGAATCTTTTCTTTCCTTACCTTTATCCACAAAATCTTGGTAACACCCAAATT